AGTATGACCACAGCCACCACTATTACCTATTGTTCTGATCCAAAGAACATCCAATGAGAAAAGAAAAAAATTAGAAAAATGGTAAAATTATGAAGATAAAAATCTAAACTCAACTGAAAATTCCGTTGGGCTCAATAAATATTTAAGAAGCTTGCCAAGAAAAAAACATTATTTTCTTATCTACATATTAGAAAACACATAGGAAGGAAGGAAAATCTCATTTATAATAGAAAAAAATTATCTAGAAATAAATTTAATGATAAATTCACAGATTCCCTACAGAGAAAACTTTGTAACTCTAAGATATAAAAGATGATATGAATAAATGGAATGAAGAAAGACTCAAAAAGATGTCAACACTTCCTGAACTGTGAATATACAAAAATCTATTAAAAATGACTACAGGGTTTACATAAAAAAATAAACATAATTACTTGATAGGAAAATTCTTGAAAAGAACGTTAATGGGGAAAGGCAATCCTTGAGTCATAATAAAAATTATATAAAATTTAAGTATTCAAAATTATAGATCATAGAATGAGTAAAGTGATCGACAGAACAAAATATAACATCCAGAAATAGGCCCAAGTAGAGACCAAAATGTGGTGCATCCTGTATGTACCAGTGTATAATCTGAGTTTTTCAGCACATTTTTAATGCAGTTTTGTGGTAAAATTAGGTGCCTCAGCTGATACTCAGGTCGGCTTATGCTCGAGTATATATGAAATAAAAATGGCACTTGAACTCAGTGGGATAAAGACAGAATTCTTTATCTTTTTTTTTTAAAGACAGATTTCTTATATACAAAATGGCCACACAAACTGGTGAGAAAAAGACTGCCTGGTAGAAAAATGGCCAAAAAACACCAGCAATCAGTTCACAGAAAAATATGAATAAATAAAGCAAACTATGAATGGCTCAAACATAATTTAAAAAAAGGTTCCAGCTTTACTCAACTAGAAAGAAGAGAATTAAAACTAACAAGTTGCTATTTGGACCACATGGTGATAATGATCAAAAAAGTATGAAAAACCGCTTTTGGCTATTATTGGCTAGGAAACAGGTGTCTAGCGTCGTGGCTGTGGAAATTTACATTGTTGTAATCTTTTTTTTTTTTTTTAAGTGTAATTTGCTAACACCTATTAAATTGTGTAAGTTCTTTTTATTTTTTTGTAAGTTCTTAAAATTCAACAATTCTACTTTGCTGAATTATTTTACAGATGCACACACATCCCTATCAAGACATTATTTGCACTGTTATATTCATGAAAGACTAAGAAACAACCTAACATTAACAAGATATTGGTCATGTAAGATTACAATTCATATATACTAAAATTATTAATGCAGGTACAATGATATTTACCTACAGAATCTGTTTCAAGATATATTAAAATACTTTTCACTTGTATTCTCTTAGGTATTGTTAAATTTTAACTTTTTAAAATGTGTGTTACACACACATAGAAAAGTTTTTATTTACTTTTTAATCATTTTATTAGGGGCTGATACAACTCTTATCACAATCCATACATACATCAATTGTGTAAAGCACATTTGTACAGTCATTGCCCTCATCCTTCTCAAAACATTTGCTCTCCACTTAAGTCCCTGGCATCAGGTCCTCATTTTTTCCCCTCCCTCCCCGTTCACCCCACCCTCATGAGCCCTTGATAATTTATAAATTATTATTTTGTTATATCTTGCCCTGTCCGATGTCTCCCTTCACCCATAGAAAAGTTTTTTAAAATTATTTTTATATAACATTGACAGATAAATTTACAAACTACAGTTAGTTGACCTATAGAGAAAGAATAAAAGTTTGCATAAACAGACTGACGGTAAGATGGTATAATTTTATTTTAAATGAATGAGTAAAATTGTCCTCACTTATTTGAGATTTATTCCTGCTTAACTAAATGGAATTAGCCAGGGCATACCTATGATTTTTTCCGCCCTCTTGAAAAAATTTAATATATACAGGCTTATATTTACACTTTTTTTTTTAGCACTTTTGTCCTGAGCAACAAAATCTGAAACATGGAAAGATAAGACATAGAAAGCAACCTGCTTCCCCCCCACCCCTGAAGAATTTATTTCAAAGGACGGCATTGAAACTGCAGCTCTGGGAGAGGAACATCTGATCGGAGCACACGGGAACAGATGAAGGGAGAGGAGGAGAGAGTGGAGCACAACCTGGCCCACCAGGCCTTGAGGACAATGTTCCCAATTACATCAGCCACCACATGGCCAGCCCAACTATGAGACATGGCACCCCTCACTGATTCATTGCCCTGTGGGGGACAGCACCGAAGACAAAGTGTGGAAACTGTGCCCAATCTGATCCGTCACACCGAGGCAAAGCACTGGGGGTGTGCAGCAGAACAGCAAGGGAATGGAGCGGTGAGATACCCAGGAAATGCTGAAGGTAGACTTTGGGGCCAGGGTATGGTGCCCCAACAGACTGGACTGGAAAACACTTTCAAGGCCAACAAACGATCCTTGAACTAACTACAAGCTTTGCTTTCTTGTTGTGTTTTGCTTTTTGTCATTGGCTTGTTGTTTTGTTGTATATTATTCCTTGGTTCTGCTCTGTCTTGTTTTTGTGCATGCTATTATCTTCACAGGTCTGTCTAAAAAAAGATAGGATGGATGAACAATCTGGAGGAGAAAACAACAGGACCGACAGTTCTGGGGGAACATGGGGGAGGGGGAGGTTGGGGGAAAGCAAGTGGTGTTAAGAAACCCAGGGACAAGGGAACAACAAGTGATCCAAATTGGTGGTGAGGTGGGTATGGGGGGCCTGGTAGGGCATCATCAAGGGTAATGTAACAAAGAGGAATTGCTAAAACCCTGGTAGGGACTGAGCATGATAGTGGGACAGGAGGAAAGTCAAGGGAAATAGAAGAAAGAGCTGGGAGGCAAAGGGCATTTATAGAGGTCTAGATAAAGGCATGTACATATGCAAAAATATTCATACATGAGGATGGGGAAATAGATCTAAGTGCATATATTTATAGGTTTAGTATTAAGGTAGCAGAAGGACATTGGGCCTCCACTCAAGGACTCCCTCAATGCAAGGATACTTTCTTCTATTAAATTGGCATTCTATGAGACTCCCCCCCTTCCTGACACAACCGCTAAAGACAAATGGGTGAATAAGCAAATGTGGCGAAGAAAGCTGATGGTGCTCAGCCATCAAAAGATATAGCACCTGGGGTCTTAAAGGCAAACAAGCGGCCATCTAGCTCAGAAGCAACAAAGCCCACATGGGAAGAAGCACACCAGCCTGTGCGATCACGGGGGTGTCGAAGGGATCAGGTATCAGGCATCAAAGAACAAAAAAATCGTACCATAGTGAAAGAGGGGGGGAATGCGGAGTGGAGACCCAAAGCCCATTTGTAGGCCACTGGAGATCCCCTTGCAGAGGGGTCTCAGGGAGGACACAGCCAGTCAGGGTGCGATGTAGCAATGATGAAAAATACAACTTTCCTCTAGTTCCTAAATGCTCCCCTCTCCCCCCCTCCCAATCATGATCCGAATTCTAACTTGCAGGTCTGGCTAGACCAGAGGATGTACACTGGTACAGATAGGAACTGGAAACACAGGGAATCCAGGGCAGATGATCCCTTCAGGACCAGTAGTGTGAGTGGCGATACTGGGAATGTAGAGGGAGAGTGGGTTGGAAAGGGGGAGCCGATTACAAGGATCTACATGTGATCTCCTCCCTGGGGGAAAGACAACAGAAAAGTGGGTGAAGGGAGACGTCAGACAGGGCAAGATATAACAAAATAATAATTTATAAATTATCAAGGGTTCATGAGGGAGGTGGGAGCAGGGAAGTAGGGGAAAAAATGAGGAGCTGATGCCAGAGGCTTAGGTGGAGAGAAAATGTTTTGAGAAACGATGTACAAATGCGCTTTACACAATTGATGTATGTATGGATTGGGATAACAGTTGTATGAGCCCCTAATAAAATGTTAAAAACAAACAAATAAATAAATGAGTGATGCTCAAGTGTAGCCCAAGAAGCACCCAAAATAAATAAAAATAAAATAAAAAAAGAATATACAAATGTGCTTTACACAATTGATGTATGTATGGATTGTGATAACCTGCAATATGCAGAAGACTTAAGAGTCAAATATCTCTTATGCTCTATGTATCAGTGATTAAAATAGAGAAAATAAAATGTAGACCAACTATTTTTGCCTTAGTTTTTTAAAAAATGCTACCCTTTTCCCTTGGTAATAGCAGTTAAAAACTTAACGTAGATTCAAACTTGAATAGACGGTCAAAGTATTTAGGATATGGCCATTTTAGGTATTTGCAAAGTAAATTCTATACTTTTCATTACATGGAAGCATAATCTTAACTATGCTACTTTTTGACTGCATCTTAAAACTTGGTTTACAGACATTTCATATATACTTACCTGTATAGCCATACATCAAATTGACATGTTAAACAAAGTGTATTTTCTTTTAAAGACCATTTAATTTATTTAAAAACAACACATTGTACACTACTAGAGATGAAACTATGTAACACTATATATATAAAATTTAATATTGGCTAAGATGCATCATAAGGGTCACTTGGGTTAGTCAGTATGACATTATCCACTGCACTATTTGTCTTTACATTTAATGCTTACTTTCTAAGAGCTTTTTGGTTAAACTTATATTAATTACTGAAGTAATTAATGCTTTTGTAATTAATGAAGTAATGCTTTCATGAATGAAACTGACTTCCTGGATTTAATACTCAATTTACATTCATGTCAATTTGATGAGTATCTGTGGAGACAGGTATCCCACACAAAGAATTCTGAGATTTGAAGGCTTAGAAGAAAATGAATTTGGATATATATGTCTTGTTAAATGGATAAAAGCCGGTATAAATGGTAGAAGATAGATGTAAACAATTTCTGTAATTTTCCTGGAGGAAATCGAAATGTGTCCTATATACTAGTGGTAATGAGGAACAGGAGAATTTACCTGAAGTTGATGAACAAATCCAGCATTAGGATTAATGCAAAATCTTCTTTCTTGAACATAAGCAAATGAATCTCTGAA